AGGTCTTCCCATATTTTTCCAAGTCCACCAACTCGTCATTTCCTACTCCACAGCAATATTCCAATCTTAAACTGTCTGGTTATTTTAAATAGTCCAAAACAACATCGATGAATATGGCTGATACGTAGTATGTTTCCCTGTTTTTCCCTTTTGATTAAATCTATTTTAGCCTTAACTTTGTCTGAGATCATGATTACCACTCCTGCTCCTTTTTCCCCAACAAATTCTACTCTGATTTTTATTTTGTGTTTGTGCATATCTCTTATTTCTTATCTTTCCTAATTCCTCTACTTTACTTCTACCTTGCCCTCCTTAACTTACCCCCCCAGTCCTTCTCTTGTCCTCCCATTCCTATTAATCTAAATACTCTTCTATAGTAGCTTCTCTTATCTGCTCCTCACCCTGCCCTATAAAAATCCCTCCCTTATCCTCTCGCCTCTTCCTATCGCCTTAGCCTTTTATTTCTTTCTGAATTTAGAAGGCTTTTATCCCCTTCTAGATATATATGTATTGTTCCCTATTAAATCCATTCCTGGTGAAAGTAGGGTTCCAGAACTACTAGCTCTCCTCCCCCATCTAATTTCTCTGTGTCAGTTCTTCCTCTCCCACCTCATTTGTATAATTACTCTTTTTACGTGTTCCTAAACGGTTTTACTTTTTAAAATCACATAATCAGGTCTACGCCAATATTTCTTATGGACTACACAATTACTAATAACAATCTTAGACATACTTTTTGCATTTCCTCATATGTAAACAGTATGCCCTTATTGAGTCCCTTGTAATTAGTCTTTGGTGTGTATCTTATATTTCTCTTGGCTCTTGTATATCAAATCTTTTATTAAGTTCAGGTTGTTTTTGTTTTTTTTTTTTAAACAAAATCCTGAAAGTCTGACAATTCATTAAATGTCCATTTTTTTTCCCATTCAGGATTATGCTTAATTTTGCTGGGTATGATATTTTCATCCATAACCCCATTTCTTTAGTTCTTCAATATATAGTGTTCCAAGACCTGTGGCCGTTTTAGTGTCACTGCTGCTAGGTCATGTGTGATTCTCATTGTGGTACCACCATATTTAAATTGTTTTTTCTGGTTGCTCATAATATTTTATACTTGAGCTGAGTGTTTTTTAATTTTACTATGATATTCCTGTAGGTTTCCTCATAGGACCTCTTTCAGTTGGTGTTCAGTGGATTTTTTCTATTTCTACTTTCCCCTCTTGTTCTAACGCTTCAAGACAATTTTCTTTAATTATTTCTTGTATTATTGTATCAAGATTTTTTATTTAATTGTAGTTTTCAGGTAATCTGATTATTCTTATATTTTTACTTTTTGATCTGTTCTTCAGATCAGTTATTTTTCTTATGAGATGTTTCACATTCCCTTCTATTTTTTCATTCTTTACATTTTGTTTTTATTATTTCTTGGTCTTTTATAACTTTGCTGGCTTCCCCTTGCCCAATTCTAATTTTCAAGGAGTCATTTTCTTCTTTAAGATTCTGAATCTCTCTTTCTAATTGGTTGACTTTAATTTTCATATTCTCCATGTTCTTCTTGGATTGTTCTTATTTGAAAAAAAAAACAATTTGCTCCATCTCTCTCATTTAATTTTTTAAGTTCTTCTATGAATTCTTTTTGGGCAGGTGACCATTTGATGTTACTCTTTGGCTTTCTTTGCTTCAGTATCCTCCTCTGAAGACAAACCCCAGTCTTCTCTATTCCCATAGTAACTTTCCGTAGTTGGCTTCTTTCTCCTTTGCCTACTCTTTTTTTTTTATTTGTAGCAGCTTATTTTTTGTAATCACCTCTAGTCCTGGGGCAGTTCTGTCCTCTGACCTGGAACCAAAACCAACAACTGCACCTTTCTGTAAGTTCCCATAGCCAGTGGTGTCCCTGCCCCACTGCTTCTGCACTCACCAGGCCTGTTCTGGGTTCCTCACACTCAGGTCTGGTGTTTCTTATTAGCAGAAGTTTCCTCGATCTTCCCCTGCTCAGATACCTTACTCCCCTCACTGTCCAAAAGGTGAAAATTCCTGTGGCTAGGGCAGAGGCCACCTCCCAACCCAGCCAGGCCTAGGGCTGGCTGCTAGTGGGTTCAGAGGAATTAGCCTGGAGGTATTTACCAAATCTCATTTTGAGATTTTTCTTCAGATCTTCTCAGATTATCCCAGGAGGACCACTATTCTGCTCCAGCCGTGGTTTATTTTTAACTGCTTTATGTTCATCCTGAGGCACTATTTTATCTCATTTGTTGGGGAAGGCGGGGATGGGAATCTGCAGAGCTTGGAATTTTCTGACCTACCCTAACATCTTCCCAGAATCCTCTAAGACATTCTATTATCTGAGGCTTTATTTGTACTTAAATGGAGTTTAAATGGATTTTAAGTGCAATCTCATCCTCTCTGTTTAACTTTTAGGTGTCTATCAGTCCAAGGAATATCTTTATCTTTTGTTTACTTGTATCACTAACATTAGTTTTTGGATTGGGACTTTGTGCTTCAGGCAAAGTCTGTTGCCTTCTCATACTCTTGGATTGTATGGGCAGTTTTAGCTTGGTTCTAAATGCTGCCTCCTGCTGGAATTCCTGTGTTTTGATTTAGGCTTTTGGTGGCTAGACATAAGTCTTGACTTTAGTTCCTTTTTTCTTTCCTTCTCTTTGCATAATCCTGACCTGGAGTTGTCTTCACACCTTATTATGACCTTGACAAGCCCTATCCAGAAACCAGATGTTTATTGTACTGATGGCACACCTTTTGCAAGACCCCAAATGCTGTCCTGGTCTACTTGTATCTTGGATATGAGTTGCTGAGGGGCTGTGCTGTCTGAGTGTTGGTCTTACTGTCTCTTGCTGTGCCCAGCTCCTCTCTCTTTTATAAATAAAATAAATTTTTATTGACCTATTTTGTATTGCCTAAATTTTCTCCTTTATCTCCTTTTTTCCCCTCCCATAGAGCCATCCTTTTTAATAAAGAATTTTTTAAGAGAAAATAATTCTGCAAAACTAATTAACATATAAAAAATATGACATATGCATTGTTCCATATCTGTGGACGCCTAATTTCTTCGTGACAGTAAGGAGAGATGTGTTCTTATCATATCTCTTCTTTGGGAACAGGCTTGGTTATTTCACAACATTCATCTTCATTTTTTTTTTTGTGATTATTATTCTTTCCATTTACAAGTAACCATTGCGTATATATCTCTAAGCTCTACTTACTTCACTTTTTATCAATTCATATAAACTTTTTCATTCATCATGTTTGTTGTTGCCAGTAATACTCCATTACCTTCATTTTATTTAACCGTTCCCCTGTTCATGGGCATCTACTTTGTTTCCAGTTCCTTGGTACCACAAAACAGTGTTGCTATAACTATTGTGGTAAATAAGGAATCTTTCTTTTTGTCAATGACCTCCTGGGATGTATGCCTAACAGTGAAATGTGTGCATCAAAAAGTATATAGATGTTTTAGCCACTTTATTTGCATAATTCCAAATTGCTTTTCATTGTGGTTGTGTTAATTTACAGCTCCACCAACATTGCAGTAACATCCCTATCTTTCCATACCCCCTTCAACATTAATAATGTTTTTTATCATGTTTGCCAATTTGCTGGGTATGAGGTGAAAGCTCAAGTTTGTTTTGATTTCAGTTTCTTTTATTTTTATTGATTTGGAGTACTCTTTCATTTGGTTGTTAATAGCTTGCTATTGTTATTTTGAAAACTATTTATGTCCTTGGACACTTATCTACTGGAGGATGGATGGCTTTCAGTTTTATATATTTCTACTAGTTGTCTATATATCTTGGATATCTTGGCTAGTAATGACCCTAGGGCTGCATGGGGCCTAAGCTGCTTAGGCTGGTCACTTGCCAGTGCAGGTGACATATGTTTGCATTTTTTGTCTTAAGTCTACCTATGCTTGTTTTTCTGAGCTTACATGGCATTCTGGTAGTTCTTTTGTGCAACTCTGGACAAGACAGAGAAGTCCTAACTGTTTCTCTTTGGTTTTCTTTATTATTGTTCTTTCTAGTGCATTTTTAGAGCTTTATTAGGGTCTTTGGGGATATCTGATCTCCTTTAGATCTTAGCATACCTCCATCTTCCAACCCTCGGTAGATTTTAGTGCCAGAGTATTAGATCTTGAAGGCTTCCCAGTACAGAGTACTAAGCATAGCACTCATCGCCCCTGAGCCTGGGTTGTCAAGGTCTCAGTTCTGCTGTGCTCACACTAGTGGTTGTTGCTCCTAGATTATTCCAGGAGCCATACTGTGGGTATCCAGTCACCCTGGAACTTTCTTATGGCAGCCTTCTGCTCCAGTTGCCACCAGATACAGGGCCTCTGGTTGTTCTGGGATGTTTCTGTCTTGTTTACTTCCACTGGTGCTTTCTTTTTTGGTGAGTCCTCTTACTTATTGCCCGTGGGCTTCTGTTCTTTTGGGGTGGATAAAGTCACTTAGTGTTATTTTTAATTAGTTTTTGCTAGAGCAAATGGGCATTGGACTTTTTGCTCTTTTCAAGAAGGCATCTTGGCCAGAACTCTCTCATTCACTACATATCTGCCACTTAATAAAGCAAGTTTGAATCCTGGCTCAAGAAACTCCAGTGTTCCCTGTTGTCTCTAGGATAGAAAAGGAAGTTCCATTATTGGGTAGGATATTAGATTAGGTTATTTTTAAGGCCTTTTCTAATTTTAAAAATTTGTAATTCTGTGACTGTTAGTCATCATAACAATTTTATATGCTTGCTTCGATGTTCATTTTAATTCAGGTTTTAAAAGTGCTCAAATTCAACATAAATTTTCTTAAATGTCTTATTTGATTTAATGTATTTTTCTTTTAATTTATCACCTATTTTAAAGAGATTTTGTGATTTCTAGCATTTCAATAAGTATAGTAATGAGATAACTAAGTGTACAAGGACATTCTCTAAAAATATGTGTAATATTTATTCTTAAACTCAAAGGTAAATTAATATTTATTCTTTGATTTATTTTTCAGAGCTGTGGAATGATGAGCTTCAGTCAAGGAAAAAAAGAAAGGACCCCTTCAGTCCAGACAAAAAGAAGCCAGTTGTTGTATCAGATATCCTTTTCCTAATTTCTGAACTTTGAAGTGTTTTTTGCAACTTTTAAAATAACTTTTCTTAGTGCATATTGACATTGGGTACAGTAAGTTCTCAGACATAATGGATTATTTATAATGTTTTTTGAAGGCCAAGAGATATCTGCTAAGCAGGGGTGCTATGAGTTCAGTTATGGAGCCTCAATTCTGTAAATCCACATGGATGTCTAACATGTTAGTTTGTTTTGTTTTAAACTAATGCTTTTGAACTTCTGTGATTCCATTTTTCTTTTGGACTTGACCCATAATTTTATTGGCATAGGGAATTCCTGGTATACAGTTTACATCACTGTCTGCTTTTTGGACATCTCAAACTAGATGTTCAATAGGCATCACAAACTCAACATGTCCAAAACAGAACTCATAATTTTCCCCTCCAAACTTTCCCCTCTTCCAAACCTCCCTGAAGGCATCATCATCCTCCCAATCCGTCAGGCTCACAATCTCAGTGTCCTCCTTTTCTTCTTACTCTCACTAATACCACGTATCTAATCCATTGCTAGATCTTGTGTCTACCCTCACAACAGCTTTCCTGTACACTCTTCTGTCTACTCACACAGCCATTAGCCTCAATCAAGCTTCACCCCCTCTCTTCGACCATTGCTTTTTACACACCAATCCTAGACATATCTGCTAACATGATTTTCCTAAAGCATAGGTCTGCCCATGTCATCCTCTACTTAGTAAACTGTTACCTTTGGAGCAAATGTAAAGTCTTCTCTTCAACATTTTATATGCTTCATAACCTGGCCTTTGCCCTCCTTTCCAGTTTTCTTACACTTCTTTCTGCTCACCTCTAATCCAGCTACATTGGTTTACTTAATGCTCTTCCTCCATACACTCAACTCTCTTTCCTTTCTTTCCACTTTTGCACTGGTTATTCTTCATGCTTGGAAAGTTTCCCTGGCTTCTCCTTCAAGTCTCAGCTCAACTCACACCTTCTGTAAAAGGCCTTTTTTGGTCTTCCAAGATGCTTATGCCTACTCCTCTGAGATTGTTGTTGTTTTTTGTTGTTTCAGTTGTGCCTGACTCTTTGTGACCCCTTTTGGGGTTTTCTTGGTAAATACCGAAGTGGTTTGCCATTTCCTCCTCCAGCTCATTTTACAGATGAGGAAAGCATGGCAAACAGGATTAAGTGATTTGCCTAGGATCACATAGCTAGTAAGTGTCAGAGGTTGAATTTGAACTCAGGAAAATGTGTCTTCCTGATTCTAGGCCTGGCACTGCATCCACTAAGCCACCAAGCTTTCCTCTGAGAATAGTTCTTATCTACTTTGTGCATATCTTGTGTGTAACCTAGTTATCCTAGTTATCTACATGTTTTCCCATTTACTTTCTTTGTAGACCCAGTATTCAGTACAGTGCTGGGCACATAGTAAACGATGCTTTTTGAACAGTTGAGCAACTGCCTCTACCATTGTTGGTTGGCACCTTTTCTACAACTTATAGAGATCTACATGGGGCAATGAGAGGTTAAAGTACCTTCTTAGGGTCACACGGGCCAGTTTTATGTGAGAGAGAGCTTTTGGTGTTGAGGACAGCTGTTTATCCACTAGATCATGTTACCTCTTAATTTAGTGTTATTTCCTAAAATAGAATTAATAGTTTTCTTCTTGTGGTCTACGTAACATGTAATACTGTTGAACAGCAGTGGCCTTAAGTAGTACTTTGACAAAATAGGGGAAGAAAAACCCGAGGAAATAAAAGAGTTACCTATTAACTACAAAGAAAAGAAATTTCCTAAAACTGATCACCAAAGCAAAACTAAAGACTAAAACACAGAATGCTATATTTGTCATTGGAAGATCAAGGTTTGAATCCCAACTCTGCTGTCCTAGCTATGTGGCCTGGGACAAGTCACGCCAACACTCTGTACCTCAGTTCCCATTTGTTAAGGATAATATAAGAGATGATTCCTTTTTGGGTACAAGTTGGATTTGATGACTTTCAAGGTCTTTTCCCAAGTCTTGAGATTCTAAAATAGGAGTAATATCTACACCACCTATCTTACAGAATTGTTGCGAAGATCAAATCAAGTAGGATAATTTGTATAAAGTGATTTGTAATCTGGAAAGCATTATGTGAATGTCAAGTATTACTACTTTGGATTGAATTATTAAAGGAGTAAATATTCCAAAGAAAACATAGAAATGCTAATTACAAGTTTAAGTTATTTTACATAATGAAAAACAAAAACATTGAAATTGAATTTGGAAAAGAATTATATTTAGAATTCACAAATTGTAATGAATTTTTTTCCCTTAAAACAGACACACACACACACAATTACAATCACAACTAATAAAATCCCAATGAAATTAAAATTATTTTTCTGTTAGAATTAGCACAGAGAGATTATTTCCTTGGAACAGTAATTTACCTCTATGGAGGCCACCTTACCTAGAAATCCCAAGGTACCATTTTTGAAGAATATTTAAAAGTCTGAAATCTATGTGCTAAAACATCATACCCATAAATCATAATTTAAATTTCTGAAAAAGAAAATATGAATATGATTAATGAGTTATTATTCTCACTTAATAGCAAAATTGTCCTTAACTTTTCAACGCCCCTATATAGTTTATATGTTACAAGACCTAGATATTCTTGAAGATTGGACAACAATTAGAAAGGTAAGATTTTCATTAATGAAAATATTCACTAGTATGAATATTGCAATATTTCTTTGCATTTATAGTATTACTTTCAGACATATAAGAGTAACTAAGAACTGTGACCTGGAAGGACATTGTAGGACATGTATGTATCATTAATCCATTATGGTTCTCGTCTTTGTCATACCTTAGGACATTACTGTATAATTTACTTTCATAGCTTTAAATGTATCTTTCATAGTATTAGGGATGGACATCGTGGTGGAGGGATCAAGCCTAACACAAATGAAGCTAAATACTCAGTCTGGAATTTCAGAGTTTTTATATTTAAAATGATTGGTTCCTTTCACTTTTACTTTTAAAGCAAAACATGTCTATTATACCTAGAACATTCTGAGTGTTAGAAATTACTCATTAATTTTGGGTTTTCTTTTTCCTTGCAAAGAAAAGTATGTAATACCAAATCATACATCTTTTTATAAAAGAATCTGTTATTAGAAACTGAAAGATCAATTTGAGCAGCTTGATGGAATATTTCATTCCACTGTGTTATTTAACTTTTCATTGTTGCTGAATATTCAGTATCATAAATAAATACACTTAGTAGGTGAAAAGAAAAACGTCCCGTATCAATAAAACTCTGAACTGGCTTCATTCAGTTTTGTAGAAATGACTTTAAAATTGTTTTAAAATAACTAAATTTCACTTTCTTCTCCATAAGGCAATGGCTACACTCGGTCCACATAGAGTAAAACCAGAACGTAAGTCACTCCATTTCTTTACTATGTTACTACATAGGTCTCCTCCATCAGAGTTGATAGAATCATTAGTACAATAAGGAATTTCCCTACCATGGCTCTTAGTTCATTTGGTAGAACCATACCAATGATATTTATATCATTCCCCAGTATGTTCTGTATGAGTGTAAAATGTCAAGATTCTAGATATGATGTAAGGGAGACTCAGTCTTGGTTTTACCTTCTTATATCTTCATCATTATTCATTGTAGCAATCATTTAAAAAGAGTCCTTCAGAGAATTAAGCAGCTTCTCCTCTAGTTAATCGTCAAAGGGATATAGTAAGCACAGAACTCTGTAATTTACTGATAGGATATACAAATCTGAGGGGAACAACAATCATGTTGCAGATAACATGTAGAATTGGATTAAGATTCTTTGTTTGTCTGAATATATGGCCAGAAATTCCTTAAAATTAACTTATTCAGTAATTGAATGGATGGATTTGTGAGCCCGTCCATGTGAGTATTCCCTCTATTGATATAGATTTTTATCCACCCACTCCCTCTTGCCCTATGTAATCCTCGTCCATGTTCTACTCTGGATTATCCACAAAGGATTTTATCTCCATCCTTTTACATTTTGTGTACCATTGTAATACGTGGGTTATCCATCTGTTATCCTTCTTGCTACAAGTGTTTGTCCTTCTACTTTTCCAATCATATATTATGAAGAGATATTCCTTTTACCTCTTGTTAAGATCATAAATTGATAGATTTAGAGTTGGGAGAGATTTTAGAAATTATTTCTACCTTTCTTATTTTTACAGATGAGGAAACTGAGGCTTAGAGAATTTAAGTGACTTCCTCAGAAGCACAGAAGTAGTCATTGCCACAATTTGAACTTAGGTGTGCTGACTTAAAATCTAATATTATTTCAACTGTACCATACTGCTGGAGTGTAGGTCATCCCTGCAAATATGTTGCAGCCTACTCAAATCCATCATACATTTCCACCTGTAACTTTAATTCCTTTGAGATTATGTTGTTCCAAATTTGAACCCAGATAGCATCACAGGGAGAAAGGTTTATGTTAAAAAGATGATTTTGGGCTAGAGAGCAGCTTGAGATTGTTGAAAACACTACACAATCTCCCAATTTCCTCTGAGAAAATATTAAATTTAAACAAAATTAATTAGTAATAACTATAAAATAAAATTTGGAAACCTTGTACTTAGTTAAAGAAGGCATGATAGAAAAGGAAAGGATAATTATCTCATGTAATATAGTGCCCTCTCCACCAAAATCTTATTTTAATGCTTCACTGTGATTTAGAGATGAGCCTGTATTCTCTATTGCTGTGCTAGCATAGCACCAATTCTGGCAATTTCTTTAGAGCTAGAAAGGACCAACAACAAATTTAGATCTGATATCCAAGAACCAACTTAATTAAGTTCAGATATGCTTAACATCAGAAAGTTAATCTTGAAGTTGTAAATTTTTTGACCACCACTCATGAAGATTGTCAGTACCAAAGTGAAAAGGGAGTTTTAATCTATATCTATAGACTTATTATTCATCCTAATAAGGCCATTGGTGTTTGAATTAAAAGTTGTGCTGCATAGATTTACTCATTACCTAGCTTAGGCTCTTTCTAGATCCTAGCATTACAGTTTGCCTAGCAGCTGCAGTTTGATAAGATCTTAGAGTTAGGCCAACCTAGCAAGTATTTATTCATTCATATGCCCAGAGTGTATAAGCCTCAATGTTGAGTTTTTTATGATTGTGTATGCCACAAGTATGCCCTTGATATTCCAATAAGATTATCAAGGAGCCTCTGTAAGTTTTATTGCCAGACCATGTTCTGGATTTTGGAAATGGAAACTCCCATCATAGCACCCTGCTTTTCTGAATGTTTTAGATGCCACTCCTTAAAGTTTCAGAAGCATTCATTATATGGTAAAATAGTGATACGGTAGGTATTGTAACATATGTCTGTTTTCACAGTTTGAGGGAAAGGGAATGTGATTTCCAGTGATGACAGCCATAGTTTTTCAATCTTGCTTTTAATTTACACTTATAATTAGGTAATGTCTCTTTTGTTTTCTCTCTTTTATTCTTGGCATATGCTTAGTTTTGTCTTTTTAAAAAATTGTTCATTGTTAAAACTAAATTAATCAGTACTTGAAAACATCAAAAAAATTTTTCCTAGGTACCTGTACTGTAAAGAATTGTAGAAATAGCTATAGAAAATATAAATGAATATTCTAACACATTGTGTTTATACAAGGATAAACAAATTAGTGCATGTAGTGTTTGAAAATTAAACCTTAATGTTCTGACACTTTTATTATTCTGACAATATTTTATTAATATAACAGTTTTTCAACTGATCCCTTTAGCACCTGTGAAATTGGAAAAACACCTACACAGTGCTAAGTCTGAAGAGGGAAGATTGTATTATGATGGTGAATGGTATATACGTGGACAAACAATATGTATTGATAAGAAAGATGAATGCCCTACAAGGTAAAAAACAGATTTTTTAAAAAATCTCTTATTTTTGCATTTCACCTTAAATAGTCAGGAGTCCTCTAGACCAGGGGTGGGGAACCTGCGGCCTTGAGGCCACATGTGACCCTCTAGGTCCTCAAGTGAGTCCCCTTGACTGAAATCCAAATTTTACAGAACAAATCCCTTTAATAAAGAGGATTTGTTCTGTAAAACTTCGATTCAGTCAAAAGGCCACACCTGAGGACTCCTTTCTATCTTTTATTGCAACCCTTACAGAGACGAAAGAAATTTTTGTTGGTATGTTCACCTGTACATTTATATCTGATGAAAAGTAAATTTAGTAATTAAGAGGCCACTCTCCACTTCTGTGATATGACTTAATCTGCTGATCTGTCTGGTATTTTTGACAGTCTTGTGTTTGAATATGCTTTAATTTGATTTGGTAGTTATGATGGTCAGTTAACTCTGTTATATTCCTGTTAATTTTATTTTTGAGGACGTAGTCAAAACCTTAGTACGGTAATTTCTGTTGCAAAACTCTAATAGCTTGGTTAGTTCCAAGGTTAATTCTTTCTTTTTCTTTTTCTTTTAGTGCCATAATTACAACAATTAACCATGATGAAGTTTGGTTTAAGAGATCTGATGGAAGCAAATCTAAACTTTATATTTCCCAGCTACAGAAAGGAAAATATTCAATAAAACATTCATAATCACTATCAATTGTTAACTAAACCTACCTGTATTAGTGTTACCAAGTGTGGTGTGCCATGGGAGTAAAAATATATTTAATAATTTTTACATTCTCATAACATTATGAGAGTATTCATATTTGTAGGTAGTATTATATGTATACTTCATATTGATATATATATATATTTTTTTTTTCTTTTTTTAATTCTGAGAAAAATGTAATCATGATGACCAAGATATTTTACCTCTAAGTTGGGTCCAACACCTAGTATATGAAGAATGGCCTTCCAAAATATGGCAGATGTTTTATGACTAAACCTTTTTGTTTGGTTAACAATTATGCAGATTTGGCTTTTCTTCTGCGTACTGTGTGGGGTTGTAAAACTGCTACATTTTTTTCCTACAATTTATTTAGTTTTTCAGGTCTGTGTAATTCATGGTGTATTTGTAAATAAGCCTGATAAAACATGTAGATGGTTTGTAATAGGATATATATTGTTAAATCAGAATCAAAACTGTAAACACATAAGTGTGTGCACACACTTGTTGGGGGAGGGGGAAGCCCTAATAGCTAATCTTTCATCAATGGCCTTACTTTATTATTTATTTTCCTTAAATTAAGCTATTGGGTTAAAATTCCTAAAAGGAGCACTTGCCTAGACTACCAGCATTCCTCCCCCTTAATAGTGTAGCAATGACGTTTTTTCCCAGACTACACTTGATGTTAATTAGAAAAATTAGTGTCAAGGAATAAAAACATTGCTTCTACCTGTACTATTTATGGCCTATGGAGGTCATGAATGCCTGGTATTAATGCTGCAGTATGTAAGTGATAATCAATAACTGACAGTATTGTGGCATATGCTGTACTTGTCTGGTCTATTGCCTTTTTTGAAAGAGATTCTCAGTAAACTTTTTCAGAGGTAAAAATAAGCCTTTATGCTAATTCTATATTTAGTACAAAACAAAGACAGTAAAATTTTTTTAGGTCCATACTCTCAAAAGAATATTTTTTCCTTTAGCTTTAAGTCCATTTAATGTGATTTAGAAAGTCTTGGTTTTCTTACCTTCAGATATTCAGATTTAATTTTCAAAGCCCCAGGAACAATGAACAAAGTCAGAACCCTAAATATGACAGCACATTTTTTGTGGCTGTAGTATAAATGATGTGACCAAAATTAGTATTCTTGTTGTTTCTGTGCACTTTACTTTTTATTATAATGAGACTTGAGGGAATGGGGGGAAAGCTAGTTATTGAAACTTGTGGCAAGAATAGAATCTGCATAGTTCAATTTATCATATTCTTTGCCTCTCAGAATGTCTTTATGTGCAGATTACTACGTAACAGTTGCCAAATTTTAAAATATTTGACCTCTGAAGTCCATTATTAACAAAATTGTCACTCTGTATGTGTCTCATAAATGTTAGCCAAATGTACATAATGTTATAAACTAATGGTCAGTCTTTGACAATACTTAGGTACACAGTTGTTTGATAAACATTTTTGTAATAAGATATTTGTATTTTTTAATTTAGTATATAATAAAAATGATCTGTGCTAGAGTACCATTTTTCAGTATGCCTTTCCATGTATTTTGTTACAATAACTGATGTGTGTTTGAGATACTTGTTGCACATAAATTTAGTGTCAGTGCCCTTTGAACTAATGCTCCTGATATATTCAGTTGAAAAATAGATTCATATAGAAATTCTCTATTAAGAAAGCATACTTATAAAGATCTTTAATTAAAATATAGAAGGAAATATTTTCATCAATTAATATATCCCCAAGAACTTTAAAGGTGACATGATAATAAGAGAAATAGCTTATATTTGTATAGTTCTTAACAGTTTATCAAGTACTTAAATATATTATATCATTTAGCCCTCACAATGACCTTTTAAAATAAGTTAGAACTGTCATTCCTATTAACAAATGGGGCTCTGAGATTTGCTGTAATTTGCTCAAGTTTTCACAGTTACTTAAGTGCCAGAGCCATAACAGGATTCAAGCCCAAGTCTTTCCACTGGACCTCACAGAGCTGTGCTGCCCTAGTGTGAAAATTAGGTTCAGAAAAACATAAATGCATTCTTCTGAGATTACAAAATGTGTAGGTATGTTTTGCTATTGGCAGCTTTCCATTTGCCTGCAGGTTACATGATATAACTAAAAAGCTATTGCTAATAAGTTTTATGATGCTGTACCAGGTATGTTCCTCCTTCCTTATCCCCATTGATCAGGTGCTTATCAATAGCAAATATTTAGAAAGGACCTACTGCGTGCATGAAACTCAAAAAGGCATTGCATCTCCTTTCTTCTGTGTTCTTTTAGAAAGAGTAGTGAATATGGAGTAATATAATTTACCTTGCAGAAAACAATTTTGACATTTTGCTATTAATCTAATCTCCATCTGCAGAGACTTTTTTCATGTGTGTGGACAAAATAGCAACCAAGAAAGTCATCATGGATATGCACACATACAATTCAGTTATAGATTAAATCCAACCCAGTACAAAAGTTACTAAAAATTTATATGAAGAAACTAGAACTCGAAGGAAACTTTGAGATCTAATTCAACCTTTGGCGGAATAGAAAGAGCACTGACTCTAGAGTCAGAGACCCTCAAATCAAATCCTACATCAGATGCTTTCTACCCATGTGACCTTGAGGAAGTTATTTAACCTCCCTTTGTCTCAGTTTCCACATCCATAAAACAACAGGATTGTGTGAGACAGACCCTGAGGTCCTTTGGACAAGTCCCTTCATCTTGCTGGACCTTGGTTTCTTTGTCAGTAAAGCAAAAGTTTTAGATCTAGATAATAGTTATTTTTATCATATTGGGGGTGGGGAACTTGAGGGTGTCATTTATCTGGGTCAGATGAATTGAAATCATCAAAAGCAGCTTCGAGTTCTCACTTTCCTTTTATTTGTCTTGGGTTTCAATTCCTTGTTTGTTATTCCCTTCAGCTCTGAATTCCATAATCCTGTTTTTTGCTTCACAAAAGAGGTCCAAAGAGGGCATGTCCAGGACAATTCAACTGATGGATGAGCTAAGATCAGAATTTGAGATTCTTGACTTTTCTGTCTCATGCTTTTTCCTTTAATCACAGAATCTGTGAATTAGAAGGAACTTTAGAGTAGTCCAGGGGTGGGGAATCAGTGGCCTCAAGGCTACATGTGGCCCGCTTAGGTCCTCAAGTGTGGCCCCATGACTGAATCCCTATGGCAGTACAAATCTCCTCAATAAAAGGATTTGTTCTGTAAAACTTGTACTCAGTCAAAAGGCTGCACCCCAGGGCCTAGAAGGCCACATGTGGCCTCGAGGCTGCAGGTTCCTCACCTCTGAATTCTAGTCCAACCCATCCATGAAAGGAATCTCCAGTAGAACACACCTGACTAGAGGTCATTCAACCTCTGCCTGAAGACCTCTAAGGAAGGGGACCTCCCTTCCTCTCAAGGCAACCTAATCCACTTTTTAAAAGTTCTACTTGTTAGGAAATTTTTTCCTGACACCAAGCTCAAATTTGCCTCCTTACAGCTTTCACCTACTTTTTCTGATTCTGCTCTCTGGGGCCAAACAGAACCACTCTAATTCCCCCTCAACATGATAACCTTTCACGTATTTGAAGACATCCAAATCCTCTCTAGGATAAATATTTCCAGTTCCTTCAACAAATCTGTATATAGAATAGACTCAAGGCTCTTTACCATCCTGTTTGCCCTCATCAGCTTATCAATATCCTTCCAAAACTGATTCTCCAAACTAAACACAATACTCTAGATGAGGCCCAAGGAAGGCAGAGTATGGTGAGACTATCATTTCCCTATTCCTGGAAGCTAGGCCCCTCATTACTGTAGCCCAAGATCACTTAAACCATTTTAGCTGTTACCTCACTCTGCTCACTGATACGGAGCTTGTATTGTATTATAAAAGCCCGGATCTTTTTCATAACAATTGCTATCCCTCCCTCCATTGTTTATGCTCCAGAAGTACTTTACATTTATCCTTACTGAATTTAATCTCATTAAGTTCAGCCCTTGTTAATATCCGTTTGGATCCTGATTTAGCTAGCTATCCTTCCCAGCCTTATGTCATTTGTATGTTGAGTATATCATCTATGCCTTTGTTTAAGTCACTAAAAAATGTTATCCAACAAAGGACCAAGCACAGATCCTTGGCTTATTCTGCTGGAGACCTGCTATTTTGAACCATTAACAGCTACTCTTTGATCTGGCTATCTAATCATTTCTGAACTCATCTAATCCATATCTCTCCATATTCTCCAGAAGAGTAGTGTCAAAAATATTGCCAAAATCCCAGTAACTGTATCCACAGCATTCTCTTTATCTACCAGTTTAGGAATCTTATCAGAAAAGGAAATGGGGGTTAGTCAACAAAGCTTGACCTATTCTTGATGAAACCATGCTGGCTTGTTGCTTCACTTTTTAGATGTTTGCCATTGTCTTGAATGGTCCATTCTAAAATTTTTTTATGAATTGAAGTAAAGCTTACAGGCTTTTTTTTTTTAATTGGGACAAAATTTTTCTTCTAATCCTGTGTTACTGATGTGGTTTGGGGTTGCTGGGAACCTTGAAATGTCGGTACAGGCATGAATTCACGCACTCAAACAATTTTCCAGTCAAGTGACAAGGTTTATTGTTAATGCCAATAGAAGCCTGTGAGATTCGTAGGAGAATCTGCAACTTAAAGGGGCTGAGACTGATGCTTATATACAAAAAGGACCAGGAAAGGATCTGAATGGGATTAAGTAGTGGTAAGTAGTCTGGGGTGGGCCAAGAACAACAGTGAAAGGAACATCAGGTAAGCTAATTAGTTGATCTAGTGAGCTGGGGTGGGCCAGTTGGATGCACCAATGATCTGGGACTGAGTTGCTTTCAAAGACAAAGACTTTTCCTTTTAGGAGTCCAGGTTCCATCACCCCATCAATACCACTCCTGTTTTCAGTGACTTTGCAAATGTCACAGACCTTGGCTCAGGAGTCATACCTCAGGATGTCATTCATT